TTTTCCATTTCTTTTGAAGTGAATGACCTGTAAATAATGTATATATTTAAATTATTTTTTAATTCCAGATATCTTGGAAGCGGTTGTAAATTTGTAGATTTACATTACTCATACAGACTTGGGATTTCAACTATAGCTGAAATAATAAGAGAAGTTTGTCATTTTATATGGGTTGTACTAAAAGACATGTGTTTACCGCAACCGACAAAAGAAAATTGGTTAAAAATCGCAAAAGATTTTCATTTACGGGCCAATTTTCCAAATTGCATAGGTGCCGTAGATGGTAAGCATGTAAGAATTATAAAACCATACAACAGTGGATCATTGTGTTATAATTACAAACACTTCTTTTCTGTAATTTTGCTTGCCATTTGTGACTCTGACTATAAGTTCATATACATAGACGTTGGTTCCTCTGGAAAGGATTGCGATTCAACTATATTTACAAATTCAACGTTTTATCAAAAGCTAATGAACAATGATTTGCAAATACCCGAACCTAAGCCCATTTCATCGACAAACCCTATACCAGTACCGTTTGTTATTGTGGGTGACGAAGCATTTGGACAAACTGACAAAATTATGCGACCGTTCGGTGGATCAAATTTAACAACAAAGAAAAAAATATTTAATTATAGGCTTTCTCGTGCACGACGCCATATTGAATGTTCATTCGGCATATTAGCAAACAAGTGGCAGATTTTTCACAGACCTATCAACGTGAATTTAGATCTAGTATCATGCATCATCAAAACATGTTGCGCTCTTCACAACTATGTCCGAGAAAGAGACGGATATAAATTTGAAGATACCCTGAGCATTCCTGGCTTTGAAGAAGTCCCAAACGGTTTCCAAAGAGCTACGCGACGTGGTGCATCATACAGAGATGTATTTGCTGATTACTTTACAACTGAGGGTCAATTATCTTGGCAGATGAGCAGTATTAATTAATAAAAAATAAATGGCATTTCTTACTTACCTGAGTTTTTTTTTCTTCGTCTGATAATTCTTCACCTCCAAATAAATCCACTATTTCTTCCCACTGTTTTTTCTTCAAATCCCGATTAGCATATTCCTCACTTTGTAAATCCCAAATAGCTTTTCGGGATTGTATTTCCGATATAAATTTATCCGTGTCAAAACTCATTGTGCGCGGCCGTCCGGTCGTTACGACAGTTGCTCGCAGTGTGAATGCTTTCAATGAAAGCAATTTGAAACCGTGCTCCTATTGGTCGCCGGCGACCGGCAGTTGCCTGTGCGTCGCCACTGCGCGGCGAGTCGCCGAGTCGCCCGGGCAACCGGTGACTAGTGCGTAAACACCTATTTAAACTATACAATATTACAGTCGTCGACAACTGAGTCGCCGGCGACTAGTCCACAGTGCGTAATAGCTCTAAGGGTCTGGTCACAAAGAGACGCGACGCGACGATGCTTGAAGAGGCAAGTGGTTTCACACCGCGCAGCGCTCCGCCGCGGGACGCATCGCGACGTCACCAGTCGCATCGTAAAGTCGCTGCGTCACACAGCCTCTTAGCGAGGAGTGTGGTCGCGGCGCGGCGCCGGAGCGATGTCGCTTCGGCGTCCTGCATATTAAAATCAATGATATGCCAGACGGTGCGTTCCGGCGCCGCACCGCAGGCACACCGCACTTCGATTGAGCGAGACGCGAGGGTGGGGGGGGGAGAGGAAGTGCTGCTCCGGCGTCGCGACGTCTATTCCGATCCATTTCCATTTTGCACTGGGACTGGCTAGGTCCCCGCTCCGCACACTACGGCGCCGCAACGGTGCCGTAACAAAGAGATTTAAAATATATATTACTACTATTACTTAAATGTCTTTGAACGTGAAGGACACAATTACATGATGCGATAACATCAAAGTATGCAAAGTAACAGCAACACTAGTCATCTCAAAGTAATACATGGCCGCCTCTCAGCAACACCACCTTCCTTGCTTACTCTAGAAGAACTACTTTATGAACAAAACCATATCACTTGTCTTACTTAGGCAGAATCTCAGTGTAGAAGTAATGTTTTAGCCCAGTTATCAAAACGTTTAATTTAAGTTATGATAATTAATATTTTACAAACTTACAACATTGTTTTATGAATAATAATTAATAATTTAAATAAATAGTAATTATGTATTATATAAAGTGATTTAAGATACTGATTACAATAAAGGTAAAAAAGTCGATATGCCTTATTTATTATTGCTTTTTGACGTTTAACAAATCCTTTACCCCTTATCATCACGTGGGTGTCGTAAAAGGCAACAAAGGGAAACAATGCAGGCAGCGTCTTCCTAATCTCCTCGTGCACTATAATCATGTCCTGCGCAAATAGCTTGTCTCCATTAAGACAGGCCGCCGTGATAGAAATTCGGTGTAGAGGACATTATTATTTTAGACCACCTACATCGGTCTTACTAGGTCGTCACTCTAGCTAGTGGGGGACACCACACACTTTGCTTATAGCTGCGAGGCTGCTGCCATACCTTTCTTCTACATCCGTTGTTGGTTCCTCTAGCTAAATGGTCGGCCCATTGCCACTTCAACTTACTAACCCGTTGGGATACGTTATGTATTACTTTGATCTGGCGATATCATCTTTACGGATTCTATGTCGCAGATAAACTCCAAGCATAGACCTTCCTATAGCTCATTGAGCGATTAAGTGTACTCATATGGCCAGCAGTGAAGGACCACGTCTCGTCAGGTTCCTATGTCATCACTAAGAACACACACTGGTCGAAAACTCTTAGTTTTAATATTTGAGGATTACGTGACGAGATATGTGCTGTATATTTTTTGTAGGATAAATAAAAACACTGAAGTTTGTTTTATAAAATTTACTTTAATGTGAATAGGTTATTTCAATTATAAGCCCAGTTCGCTCTCATGAAACACTTCGGCATGAAATTGTCACATACTTGGCAATTTCTTCATTATAACCGTGAATAAATAATTTAGTAAGTGCTTATAATAATTTGAAAATAAGACTAAGTACAGTGTTACTATGAAGTACTTTATTTTATTACATGAGAAATAATTGAAACAACATCAATTGAAAATATCTTTAGAAAATATTACAATTGTATAACACAAACTTTAACTCCAACATCAGAAAATTTATTTAGGAATATCTGAGGAATATAAATATTTCAAAGAAATGTCATTACCAAGTCCGCCAACACGCGTTGGTTATTAAAGTCCTACAATTGCTACCCTACCACTACGAGCTCAATCCTATTTGATATGGTATGGGCAGATATAAAAGGAATAACACGAAAGCAATGTCAGTTAAAACAATATAATTATACATAATACATATAGACTACGGACTTTCATTTGGACGATACTGACACTCTTCTCCCGCTCTTTTCACATCTACGCAAGCATGCTCATCCATACACATCTTCAATATATCGCTAATTTGGTCGATAAGCTTCCGCCCAGGGCGTCTCTTGCCGACTCACTTCTGCAGGATTAATTTGCTTTGTTATTCTTTCTACTTGTCCAAACCACCATCGTCTTAATTCGGCAAATTGTACTTGCAATTGTACACACTTCTCTCTTATCACACATTTCAGAATCACATTTAACCCTTTCCCTGTTCCATGAATCTAAAATTCTAACTTCCCACAATAGAGTGAACCAACAATTTGTGCTTAAACATAAATATTGAGTCCACGTTGGATTCGAACCCAAAAAACGTCAAAGACCTAGTAGAGTACGGATGTATAAATAAAAACATTTTAGCAGAGTAATATAAATCAATTGTTGCCCACGAAAATTTTTAGTAAAAAGTAAAAGCATCAACCTTCTGAGATCGGACCTTCAATTCTTTCAGACATTTATATGTCTTGGCTTTTTTTATCCTTTGCTAGAATGTCGTCTAAATAGTTACATTAAAAATTTCATCCAAGATTTTTCTACCCTTTTTAGAGGAACAACCCACTTAGAAATCCAACCTATTTAACAAATAGATAATAGCTAAAAAAAAACCACGCTTTTGTAGATAAACGAACTAAAAAGTAGAAAATAATTTTCAATAAGCTTAAAATAAGAAAATAGCTATTAACATAAAAAAATCATTTTATTGTAAAAAAGTGTGGGGTGCTTTTTCAGATATTTTTATGATGACGCTAATTTTACGCTAATCCACAAAAATATTTACAACAAACGACATCTAGCTAGCTGAATTTTTACGTTAATCACTATTTTCTTATTTTAAACTTATTGAAAATTATTTTCGACTTTTCAGTTCGGCTATCTACAAAAGCATGTTTTTTAGTTTTTTAAACTACCATTTACTTTCTATTTTTTAGTGCAGCTAACTACAAAAGCAAGTTTTTTTTTTTTGGAAAGAAGTTATTTTACGCGGCTTACAGTAGATTGAACTGGCAGAAATCATAGTTGTTTTATGAATTATTCGCAAATCCTGAGGATCCTGGAAAGGATAATGGAACAAACCATTTAAATTATTGCATTGTCATCGGTCCTTTATAAGTGTGCGAAGTTTCAAATCAATCTGACGTTTTGAATGGGATGAAAATCACATACGAAAATTCCGTTACATAGATGCATACCAAGCTAATAAAAGTGTGTTAAAAAAGAATTATTAAAATCGATTCACAATTGACAAATATATCGCGTGACATATATATAAAAAAAGAGAAATAAAACACCAGCCCTTGAGAAACTCCTGCTTTAATAGCATATAAGCAGTTTGAACAACAACTAATTACGAGTATAGAGAAATAATATTACTAATAATAATAATATAATATTTTGGCACTATAAGAAGTGCGCAAATCTGCGAACAAGTTGCGTGGATCATCTAATTTCAATAATCAATATTCAAACGTTAATATGTTTGATAAGAGGGATTGTTACCCAACAGTTTATAGGTCAGTATTTTGTTAATTCTATTAAACACGTGTAACTACAACTTCACATTCAGAAAGCATGATCACAGCATTATTAAATAACAGTTATCTTAGTGGCGGTTATTACATTGTCTGCAATCTGGAGAGCATGGATCACAAGGAACTGGCGGACCATGTGGATGTTGAAACGGCAGTAGCAATGGTGTGGACAAAGCCGGTAACGCCGGAAGCGGCACCAGCCATTCCGAACCACAGACTCGTCCCATGACGAGTGCTGGTAAGAGCGGCGCTCTTGGACCCACTGGTCTAAAAGCGGACCATCTTGACTCTATTTCTTCCGTACTCGATACAGAGGCTTCGAAACTTGCACTAGAAGAGCTTCCACTTGTTGACAACGACTTTTCATGTTGTCCCTGCAAATAAATTGTTTAAGGTAACCTTTGTGATAATTTTAAGGTTGTTGAAAATATGCTCTACATATATTGAACAAGTAAATTTTATTGTTAATAATATAAAAAATGCAAGGTGCAAGGGGAATACATCAACCGAAACGCGAAATTCATTGACTGGCGATGGAAACAGAAACAGAAACATTTTTATTCAATATAGATTATAAATAATTCTTATTGAAAGTCACTCTTTTGTTTAATTACCACTGGTTCGAAAAAAAACCTCTGTCCTGGAAAGAACCAGCAAAAAACCCAGCGGGACTTTTTTTTTAAATAACAGCTTACAATCATGCTATCACAATTCACCACACAAAACAAATTAAAATGGAGATCAGTATTAGCAGTGCTAGTGTATTAGCTTTGCGCTCACCAACCCGCCTACCCAGTGTGATGAGTCTGGGCAAATTTTATAACATGGCGCCTTTTCGAAAGGTTTATATCTAGTGGTTGAGTTGAGAATAATTATTTAAATACTTTTTATTATTTACATTTTTAAAACGGACTAAAAAGTAAAATAATTTCTTCTAGCCCCTTATAAATTTATAACCCATATTAGATTATTTCAAAACGTGATATAGATAGACAAGAAAATGAGTAATTAGAGCCTATAAATGTTCGATGCTGAACATAGGCTGCCCCTATTGATTGCCTCATACAACCTGATTTTGCCATAGTTGCCACACTTGACTGGGGGGTTTTGAGTTGTTACCAGAAAGATATTGCTATCCATCTTCCGTTTCAATTTCCTTCTGTCGCTTCTTAAGACATCCATGGGACGATGTGGGGTAGCCTTGCGCCACCACTACAAGGAACATTACAATTAAAAATTAAATATATATATGTATATATATATATATATATATATATATATATATATATATATATATATATATGTATATATATATATATATATTAATTTAGTGCTAGTTACGATCACATGAAAGAGGTTTTACTCTAACAATTTTTTTTCTTCATATTCACATAATTTACACATTTTACTTACATGAATAGCGTTACAATGCTCAACAGCTCGAAGCAGGTCATGATTACAGCGACGGAGAACTAACTCCAGTACGGAGCGTTTTTTTCCAGGGAAGAGTTTTCTTAACATTTCCAGACCTGCCGTGCTTACTGCGCTTTCACCATCTGTCATTTCTTCGTTTCCATCACTATTATTAAAATAATAAACATATATTATGATTTCTTATATTTACGCGAACAATACACATTGAATGAAACTACTTTTTACGAATTCTAATTAATTCATTATTTACGAGTATTTTATGTCTTTTGATAAGGCAATAATGGCAAATATTTTTATAATTTAAGCTACGACAGTTAAAGCTCTTTTTTTTTAATAGGGTTAAAGGGTGACAAGCGAGCGCACAGTCCACCTGATGGTAAGTGGTTGCTGTGGCCCATAGACAGTTTCCAATAATAAGGGTCTCCGGTTAAAAAAGGGTATCCGGTTTCTTAGATGTGTTTTACGTGTATAAAACTTAAAATGAGAAATTTTAAATGTTTTATTAGGTGTAGGTAGTGTCTCAGCAATAATAACAATGATTATATCCTATAACATATTAATATTATTGTGATAGGATGTTATCACAGTATAAATATATAGTAGGAACAGTATGGAAACTACCTACAAACGCTCGAAACGGCACACACACAAACATGGGCAACGCCGAGACTTCTAAACGCTCGCCGCGGTGCTCTCAGTAGCGAGTGTCGCGTCAAGACTTTAAAAATGCCACTAAAGTATTGCGTAGTATACGGCTGTTTGAACTCGGCTTCATCGAAACCGGAGCTATCGCATTATAAACTTCCTGTTAATTTTCTGCCGACTTCCAAAAAGGAGACGGTACTCAATTCGACTGTATGTTTCTTTTTTATGTGTGTTACCTCATAACTTTTTACTGGGTGAACCGATTTGGATGATTCTTTTTTTATTTGAAAGCTGGTACTTCTCGTGTGGTCCCATATGAATTTGATTAAGGTCAGACCAATAGTTTTTGAGTTATTCTTAATAACTCATATTGAAGTCGGCTGGACAAAATTTTTAATTTTAAATTATGAAAGGTAAGAATGATTTTTATTGTCGTTGTTATAATCGTTTTCGAATTATAAGTCCGTGTGATCGATCATAATGAATTCGTGAACTTATTTGTAAATTCAGAATGCGGCGGTTTTGAGGCTATTTAAAGCTGATAGTGCAATAGTGGTACCAAAATGTAAATCAAAGATGGCGGCTGCAATAGGTATCATTTTTTTCGTCATGGGTGCCATTTTCATGGATTTCGAGGGTGTTGACGCCGATAGTGCTCTCGAAATGTAAATCCATGATGGCGGCTGCAATAGGTATCAATTTTTTCATCATGGGTGTCATTTTCATAGTTTTTGACTATGTTGAAGCCAATAGTGCTGTCGAAATGTAAATCCAAGATGGCGGCTGCAATAGGTATCATTTTTTCATCATGGGTGTCATTTTCATAGTTTTTATGTATGTTGAAGCCGATAGTGCTGTTGAAATGTAAATCTAAGATGGCGGCTGCAATAGTTAATTAACTTTTTCGTCATGGGTGTCATTTTCATGGTTTTTGAGGGTGTTGAAGCCGATAGTGCTGTCGAAATGTAAATCCAAGATGGCGGCTGCAATAGGTATCAATTTTTTCGTCATGGGTGTCATTTTCATAGTTTTTGAGTATTTTGAAGCCGATAGTGCTGTTGAAATGTAAATTCAAGATGGCGGCTGCAATAGCTATTAACTTTTTCGTCATGGGTGTCATTTTCATGGTTTTTGAGGGTGTTGAAGCCGATAGTGCTGTCGAAATGTAAATCCAAGATGGCGGCTGCAATAGGTATCAATTTTTTCGTCATGGGTGTTATTTTCATAGTTTTTGAGTATTTTGAAGCCGATAGTGCTGTTGAAATGTAAATTCAAGATGGCGGCTGCAATAGCTATTAACTTTTTCGTCATGAGTGTCATTTTCATGGTTTTTGAGGGTGTTGAAGCCGATAGTACTTTCAAAATGTAAGTCCAAGATGGTGGCTGCAACAGGTAGATATATCAATTTTTTCGTCATGGGTGTCATTTTCATGGTTTTTGAGGGTGTTGAAACCGATTTTTCGTTATTGCTTTAAAAAAGTAGCTGAAAGAAGCGAAAGAGGTATGAAAGGATCGTGACACTTGGCGATCTGTTCTCTCTGGCTACCCCGTCAGGGATTGTGCGTGAAGATAAGTTCAAGTTTATCTAATTTACAAAAAAATAAACAAAATTGGTTTCATAGTACCCTGTCCTTGTTTCCCAACAGTTTCGTTAGAATGATATTTTTTTACACAATTAAATTCAATAATAAAGAATTCGGAACTTGTCGTAGCAGACGAAAATATTTTTCTGTAAATAATTTGTAATAATATAATGAAGAATAAAGCTACGTTTTCGTCCAACCGCGGCTAGCGTACGCTCCCGCCGAAACTTGTAAAAGGTTTCGCCGTAATGACAAAGTTAAAGATCTATAGTTCAAGTTGTTGTGTGTTAATATTAAATTGTTTTACGTGTTTAAGCTATCGTCTTTTGCTAAGATTACCGGACGCCATGAGATTACCTATTTACATTGTATTTGTAAGCTAGTTATTTAAATTCGACTGATTGATAACTACAGAACAAAAATATAAAAACAGCAATATGAAAAACATTAAAAGTTACAACCCTATTGCTTCAACGGTGCGTAGGTAATTATGTCCTCAACTAGGCTTAGTTTCCATACTGTTCATATTTATACTGTGATGTTATAGTGTCAAATGCGCAGGCCATATTACATTATAGATAATGTCGCATTATACACGTAAAAACTGGGACACTCATTTTCCTAATATGTAACATTTTAGATGCAGGTATCAGATTCTGATATCCTAAAATACGCTGATGTAATAATATCTGAAGTTGCTAACATGACAACAACAAATCATGACATGCCACAATCACAATACGATAACTAAATTGGGAAGAAATCAGAACCGTTCTATTGTGAATGAATTTAGTATTATTATCTACATAGGACATCGCGTACGCAACGGCAGTCGTCACGAGATACGAGGCACGTCGCTACTATCAAGGTGCTGTGCTTATCCATCCTTCTCTTGAGCTGTTTTATATATTGTTCCTAATCCGCAGCAGCTCATCTTCGTGTCAGCCAATCCATTAAAATAATTTCACGCATAAAATAATCGACTCGATCCGTCGATCGAACAGTCGACTAATCGTTCGCCCGCGTATAGCTCACCTGTACCACATCGTTCCACTATAATTCTTTGTTTTGTTTTTTTATAAAAAAAGCGACTATATAATACTAAAGAAAAATAATTGGTATTCTTGCAAATATTTTGCTACATCTTGGAATTCGAGCCCAGGGCATTCGATTTAGTAGGTGCTCAAATCTTTTAATAACAGGTGATCATTACGATTTTAAAATTAAAGAATCTTAAAGGAGCATAGATTAAAAAAAATACCATGTCCTTGAGGCTAAGGCGGCATTGCCAGCAGAATCAGGCGATGCGCTGCAACAATCGGGCATGGAGTCACTCGTCTCGCTGTCGATATGAATAGGCTGAAAGAAAAATTTAATGTTTTATGTGGGTACGTCCATTATTATTACAAAATTCGATTCCATAGCCACATTATATAGCATTTGTTTATTCATTTATTTACAAAATAATAGAAATGCAACTTATTCCGGGGAACAATTCAACAGTAGTAAAAAAAAGTGCAGTTGCCAACCCGCTTGCAAAGCATGGTAACGATATCAAATATGGCTTTTCTCTCGAAATCTCGTTTCGTCATTGATTATTAAATGAGAGTGATAATTTTTTCAAAAGGAAAGGTTACACTGACGTCCCGACGGCTTTTCGTTAAGCCTCCGTCAACAAATATCGTGCTGGCGATTCACAACGATCCTAATTCCGATCCGTGATTTACAGGTTGTTAATAATACAGTTGGTGAGCTTTCAGTTCACATACATAAATCAAGATCAGAGTTGGGGCTTAAATGAAAATATAGATTGTAATACCTCGTTTTACACAGTTGGTTTACTATGCAACAGGTTTTTGCACCGAAGAGACAACATGCTACATAACGCCATAACCATTTTGTTTCTACTGTTAACATTGCATCTTTGAAAATCGGCCTAGTTTGTTGTACGAGTGGCTTAGGGCTGGAATAATCGCTTACTGTTAGCTCATTTGTTACTTTAATGTTATGAAAACACATTCACTTACAGTTTGATCCTCTAGTGCTGAATCGGGTTCAGGTCCAGGACTCGGGCAAGGTCCTGTTACTCGCATCCCGTAGATTCGCCCTGGTGGCAATGATTCCAAAGGTGTTCCGCTTTCAACAGATGCTAAATGTAACGCTATTTTGTCTTCAGCTGCCTGCTGCCTTTTTAAAGCCACCTGTCAAAAATTGTCCTCAATACTAAAAGTCATCAATACCATAAATCGAGTGTAAATGCAGAACACTCACGACGGTATTTTGAGGCCGAAGTAAATAAAATACTCTGTGGCTGTGGCTCAGGCTGCTAAAACCACCGAAAATTTCGCCAATTTAGAGGTGAAATAAATTAATTATAACTAAAGAAAACAAAATTAAACTGCCATTTACATTCCATGGCTTCCCACATGATAAATGAAGAGATTAAAAAATAGATTGAACTAAACAATTGATATTTTCAAAAGTTATCGTGTTTACGCCGCCATGCGGACTTGATAAATCCACACCATAAGCCACTAAAACCCCCTTTTTATGTAAAAATAGCAACTAAACGATTTAAAAAAAAATTATAAGTTCAACAATCATATTTAGCCTGTACAATACAAATATTTATAGACTATAATTACTTAACTCTTTTATTATGTCCTAGAAAAAGTCCAATATCAATATTTGGAAAACAAAACTTCGGTATGGATAAGGCGATGGGTCGTGTATTTATTACGAATCTGTATTCAACAATAAAAGTAAAACATGAGATGTTCCCTCACACCGGACAGTGAGTGATAGGAAACTTGATGCTGATAAACTAATTTAGCGGAAAATCAATGACAAACACACGATATTTATGTTTGCGGTAAGCGGTCACCCCAGGGAGGTGCGCCCCGGGCACAAGCCCGCCGTTGCCTAATTGAGAAAATAAACAAAACTCGATCTCAGCTCTAATCAAATAACAACTGGACTTGGACGGAATACTTATTACTTTTTATTTTCCTATAGAAAATAATATAACCACAAAAGCATCTAACAAATCCGTAAGATTTTAAGCAGTAAAAACACCTGTGATATTAAAATTATGTAATCTGTTATAGAAAATTTATTCGCGCTCATATTTTTACCCGAAAATAGAAAAGTTTTTTACTGTTTCAACACACTTATATTTTAAAAAAAATGTTAAGCTAAGTACCCTATCAAATATTAGAAATTTCGAAATGCAAATCGTTTTGCATTTATGGGAACAAATTCAATATTTGTTTTGAAGATAACATCTGTTATTCGAGATTCGATATTGTGTTAAAGAGTGTATGAAAATGAAGCCAGCGACTCCCGAATCCCGGATGAAAGTGGTGGGACATCGAGAACGATGCATTACTGTACAAACCGATCGATGTTTCATCCGGCGTCTACGGTAAACACGTGCCACTTGTTCAAATAAACTGACGCATTAGCTGGTCTCGATTTCACTACATTAAAACACATTAACGCCTTTACATTGAATGTTATTTCTGAAATAGGAAGAAGTGTTCCATGAAAATGATTCGAATGTCATTACACTAAAAAGATAAAAATATTCGAGTTTATTTTACTATTTTTGAAAATTAAAAAAGTATGTTGAAATAACTTGGTACAGAATATTAAAAGAAAATTATAAAATCGTTTATAAAATACTTAAATTATTAACCTAACAAATCAGTATGGAATATGGATGACCAATATAAATAAAATAATTTAACAGTGAAAGGCATTTTTTGCTATTTTTATTCAAACTACATAAAAAAACAGGATATATAAGAATCAGGAAGGTTTCCCACCTTGTCGTCCCTGATTTGCTGTCGCCGGGATATGTTATTCCTAATGGAATGTTTTTTCAGGCGGAAATACATACTCGTATTATCTCAAGTATGAAGAAGAACCCTAAATTACTACTCCTAACTACTTTAAAAATGGTTTGTAAGTTTCATTCGGTCAATATTTTTTAAACAACCAATTCGGTAATCTACCTGAAAAAATGAATATAGGTGCAAATTTAAAAACTTGAATTGTAGTACACTGAAAATTATTAATATTTATAATGGTTCTAATAAATAAATATTGATTAAAAATCTGTTTCATATTTGGTGAAGACTTTTTTCCGGAATGAGGGCTAGATTGGTTCGTCCATAGACTTACGCCAGTATATCCTAAGGCCACGTCCACACGGCTATACTTTTCCCGTATACCGTACACTAGATTTTATCGAACATAGTAGTGGCAGTAGACAATATGTCAAATTGTTCACATGGAGTCCATACGGGAAAATGTCGTGTTCGAGATACATTTTTACCGTATACCTTACGATGTTGCCAAAGTCTTTGCGTTTGTCAATTTTTACCCTCCGTCAAGTGTAATATCCCTCTACAAGATGCCAGAGTGTACCAGCTTGATTGTGAATGTGGCCTCTCTTATTTTATTTATTAGGTTATTTACCTTTTACTTCTTACAAGTACCTATGTATACTCATAAGACAAACTAAAAGGTAAATAAAAGCCGCATAAAAACATATAGCTAAAGTGAAGAACCGATGCAATTTTCTTCTTTTATGCAATTTTTCTTCAACCGTTCTTTTGCGTGGATTGGTCTTATATATCTAATGCAATACATTAGATATGTAAGACCAATCCACGCAAAAGAATACCGATCTAATTCAAGGATAATTCGCGAAGCTATAAAAATAAAAAACAAATGAATTTCAATAAAGAAGATGACTGTGGTTATTAATTCTATAATTGACAAAATTAAATAATGTTAAATTGTAATAAAGTTCTCATCATATCTTCGAAGGCCGTAATGTGCCAACTGGCGTCCCTCAAGCTGGTATTCTCGCTCTTTTTATATTTCCTATTTTTATCTTCACATTAAATCTCAAGTGCTCTTACTTTTTTTTATTGAATAAGGATGACAAACGAGCACACAGTCCACCTGATGGTAACTGGTTGCTGTGGTCTATAGACATCTACATCTGTCTTCGTTTGCGAATTAAAATACAGATGCGTTGTCAGACATGAGAACTAAGATGGAATGCCTCTTTTCCAGCAAAATAGGTCTCCGGTTCTCTACACTTACCATACGAAACACAGCAGCATTAAGCTGCTATTTTACGCTGATATTCTGTGAGAGCGTGGTCCTTCTCCGGTCGAGCCGACCCTTTCGTGCCACAACCATACTAGCAATATAGCTCCAGCATGGCTCTAGCACGTAATAATGTTACTGTCTGTATGCCTAACGTCTCTGAATGGTCCTTCCATAGATTCTTATCTTAATTAGATATTTCCACCTTACTATCCATCATCCATTACAGCCTAAAAAGTCCACTGCTGAACATAGGCGCCCCATAAATTGCCTCATAAGGGATATTTTGCCAAAGTTGCATCGCTTGGCAGGCGAATTGGCAAGCAAGAGCTTTTTACAGTTTTGAGTTGACATTAAATAGGCGCTGCTGCCCATGTCAATCATGTCTAATAACAATGCTGTACCATTCTCTCTCTCCTTATAAAGAAACTCAATCTGCATCTTGACAGTTTCTTTACGTGAAACAAACACAGAGGAGTCCCGAAATTACTGGAACCTTGCGATCTCTTTTCAGACCACATCATATTTATATGAGGTCGACTCACGCTCCAGCTATATTATGGTTATAACACGAAGGACCACGCCCTATAATAATCAGGGTAAAATAGCAGCTTAATGCTGCTATTTCGTACGGCAAGTGTAGAGAACCGGAGACCCTTTTTACTGGAAACGAGGCATACCATCTTAATCCTCAGGAGTGACAACGCATCTGCAATTTGATTCTTAATTGAGGATATATGTAGGTGTTTATAGGTCACAGCGTCAACTTACAGTCAGGTGGACTGTGAGCTCGTTTGTCACCCTTATTCTATAAAAAAGACTAAAAAGTTAAAAAAATCCTACCAATACAAAATCCTATTTGTACAGTCCCTTATTCTGCTGATTACTGATTATGTTCATGAGTGTTACTCGGCCTGTCTCAACAATATCAAAGCACATTGCTCCGTCTTCCAAACAGGTGCATCAGATACATTTTTATTTTCGAAAAGACAGTAGATACATGGTCGTACCATAGTACCTTCATCGTACTTTATTTTCGGACTCTGCTTTGGCTGCCTATTCGTCAACGCAGATATGTTATAATAGTCTGCACCCTTTTCACAATTCTGAACGAGCCGTTTCCTGTCGAGTACTTAAAATCAATTTTTCTTCTCCGTTCTTTGAGTTATCTTAAGTCGCCCACGACTTTACACCGTACTGGCTACATCTATGTACATATCTCATTCTTTTGCCATCACGTAACACGTTTATTTTTTACCCATGACGTAACGGAGAGGTGTATGCGTTTACTACGCACGACGGAACGGATAAGGTTTAAGCGTTTAGGGGTGAGAGGTTATCCGTTTGTTTGTATGTTTGTGTGTGCAAACGAATATTTCCATTTATCTCCAAAATGGTTTGACCGATTTAGATATTACGGTTTTCAGTAAAGGGTTTACTTATTTATTTATTTATTCTTTATTGTACACCACAAAAACGATAACAAAAAAACAAATTACAAGGAGTAAAACTTAAGAGGTAGGTACAATAAGTCCATCTTATCGCCAAAAAGCGATCTCTTCCAGACAACCTTAAGATTAGGAGAAAATTGTACTATTGAACAGTGGGAGGTGGTGTATATTATAGCAAACTTACATACTAATACCTAAATAAACTAAACCGATACATAGTAACAAAATATTTAATGCACTAATATATACATTCAAAATATGATAGACATACATACGATTAAATAGGCATATATACATAAAAAGTACATAAATAAATACAAACAGGATACAAAAAATACATGTCGCAAATGATAACCAGTAGTTATTGCACTGTTAGGTAGTAATTTTTGACGTCAGTTTTAAACTTTTTTAGTGTTTTCACACGACGACTTTGCGGAGAAAGATCATTCCATAAGCAGATGGCCTTGACTGTGAAGGAATTCTTAAAGTATTTAGTTCGATAAGAATGTGGCGCGAGTATAAATTCTCCGGCTGACCGTAGAACTCTGTCCGGTCTCTCATGACCAAGAAACTTAAAGTTTTCCTTCAGATAGCTAGGAGTCATTGGATCAAATAATACACAGTACAGAAGAGAAACAATTTGTAGATTCCGACGAAGGCGAATGGGTAACCACTTGAGCTTTAAACGAAATTCGGAGACATGATCATTTTTGTGCAAGCCAAATATGAACCTAATAGCCAGATTTTGAATACGCTCAAGTTTGTTTAATTGATCTTCAGTTAAATCAAGGTAGCTTGCATCCGCATAATCGAGAAATAATCTTAGTAGAAATGGGAAGGAAAGAACGTACACGCCGTAATAAACCCATAGCAGCAAAAGTTTTTCTGCTAACTTCTTTCAATTGATGAGACCACGGGAAAGTAGTATCGAAGTGGATACCAAGACTTAACGGTGATACTGTAAGGTATTACAATACTATTCAATACCACCGAGGGAAAGTTATTCCAGTCAACTCTTGAAATCATGCCAGCACTACCAACAATTATGGCCTTACAAGGATTAACCTTAAGCCCATAGCACTTACTCCATTCGCTAATAGCCGCCAGGTCAGCATTAATGGCAGAAACAGCGTTAGCCAGGTTCTCAAGAGTTGACTGCGTATACACTTGAAGATCATCTGCATACATGTGATAGAGAGAAGAAATTTTGTGACAGATCGAATTAATGAAGATACCAAAGAGTAAAGGATACAACACACCAACTTGAAGCACTCCAGTTCGCAATTCACACCAAAATGAAAATTTATCTTCAATGCGAATACGCTGCCGTATTCGCATTGAAGATAAATTTTTTTTAAAATTAAATTTAAATTTTTTAAAATTGACTAAGATAACTTTGAAACCATCCAACCACTGACGGAGATATGTTATTGGAACATAACAGACTCAACAATATATCAAAATCAACGGTATTGAAGGCATTGCTAAAATTTAATAATACCAACACAGTGAGCTGTTTATTATCCATACCTCGTCGAACATCGTCAGTAATTTTAACCAGAACTGTAGTCGTACTATGAAACGACCGGAAACCGGATTGAACGGGATTCAAAAGGCAATTTCTATCTAGATATAGACTTAATTGGTGAAAAACTAGTTTCTCTAGGACTTTAGATAGAAACGGAAGAATGGAATTGGGGCGAAAGTCGGTAAAATGTGAGGCTTGGGCCTTCTTAGGGAGGGAAATTACTTGTACGCTTTTCCAAGCGTCAGGGAATTTAGACGAGGAGATAGATTTATTCAAGATATGGGTGAGAATGGGAGTAACAAATTCAAGGATAGGTAAGGTTTGTGATTAATCGGCGATATTTCTTAGATAGGTATTATGGTGCTAACATGCCAGCGGGCGCTGTCGCAAAAATCGCATGACAGATGTAAAGGTTATAATCTAAAACGGAGTAATTTTTTTTAAACAACCCCCGACTAAAGAAGTAAGTCACAGCTAAAGATAAAAATCGTTGTAAAAAGGGTTTATTTGTCATAATATACAACTAGTTATGACTTTCCTTGGACTGACTTGATACTGGCAGAATTCTATCAAGAGAAGCCATAATTTAAAAGAAGAAGAAGAAGACTTTCCTTAGTCCTTCCTTTGTGTACCTATTTGTTTGTCATAGAGCTAGACACAGCAATAACATCAAATGCAGGTACTACACATATTCATCTACCTATTAGGTAATATAATTACAAGTTCAAGTAGATCCGCCAGGAGTTTTTGGTAACTCATAAAAAAGCAATTTATATGTAAACTAACATATTTACTGCTGTTTTAAGTATTCTCCATTACATTTTAAACTTGTTTTCTTTCATTCAAACCATTTTTGAAAACATTAGGCCCATTGTTCAGAGGGCATTTTTTTACGTGTTGGTTGAAAGCTTGATTTTTTCTCCAAAAATCAAAGACCGAGGCTGATTGCGAGATGGATTACGAACTGCCGAGCTAGCATGGGCAGGAGACAATTTTATCCCCGGGGTAAGGAGGAAATGTTTATCCCCTCGCTTAGTTTTATCCACCCTTCGAGCATTGGCACACCGGTGGATATAATATCCACAGTAGATAAAAGGGGAAATTGACTTATACTTAGATATATTTTTTATATTAAGCCCACGTCTAATGAACTAGGATAAAATTGTCCCCTTCATATATCAAAAAAGCATAATTTTTTATGTTTCATTTGGCTCCATGCTACGGACGGGGGATATATGTCTACTCGTTATGTCAAACGGGGATATACTTCTCCCCGTTGCCGTGCTTTTGCATAAGGACAAGATAATTTTATCTCTTGTCAGTGGATATAATCGGTGAATAAATTGAAAAACTGTTACTTTTTTGCTGGAATGTAACAATATTGCCTTGTTTCTTCTATCACAATGTCAAACACAGCAATTTAAACGTCCGCGATCATACTTTATCAACATATTTTACATTAATCAACTCGAGCCCGATTTTGTGCTGGGATAAGTTCACGAAGAATCCAGCGGCAACAAAGGTTTCTATTTTTAATCAAATGTACTCGAGAAATGTCCTCAGTGATCACAGTTGCGGGTGTCAAACCTTCACCAAATTCATCGTGAAGAGAAACACGGCTACGATCAGATTTTGTGTAGCAACGCTTTACGGTGTTCAAATGAGGTGCTTCCCTCACATAAATATTTTGGAGTGTAATTTTGCAGAAAGAATAAACTTTAAAAGTCATAGAAAATCATCTCCCAAAAATGAAAGGAGGCCTGCGCCCAGCAGTGGCGCATAAAGGCCATTACTTTACTATTTTAGTTTTATAGGGTAAAGAATTAAAATGTTTTATGTTATTTTATACTGGCTTTTCGCCCCGTGGTTTTACCTACTCGTACCCAAGTTGTACCGTCTAGACAGTTATGACTGTTATTATGAGACCGCAAAATACGGAGATTTGGCTTATCAAATTATGACAACCGCTCTAACAATCTTCATCTTCGTCAAAAAAAAAAAACAAAAGGCGAAATACCGATTTTTATCGATTCACCTCTAAAGGGTTAGATTAAAAAACCATTGATTATATTTTTTACAAATCGGAAAAATTGCAAAGTACGTAATCATTTGTTTTTATATACATACAGAATATTTTCTACTAAATAAAATATTAATAAAAATTGTACATCCTATCTCAACCTCTTTCTTAGTGGTAGAATTTTCCAAAATCCTTTTTTTGTAATAAAAGTGAGCTATTGTTCCAATTTTACGCTTCTACATCAAGAGGTTAGGACTGTGCTTTCTAATACAATATTTTTCATACAAACTGCACCTGTAAGCACTGCACCCAATAAGTATTTGAAAAAATATACCAAACAGTAATTACTAAACCCCCCCCCCCCCCCATTCGCCAACCCGTAAAGAGTTGTTTTTAAGAAATCGCAAAATGCGTATTTATTCATTTTGATAACACAGATATTTTTCGTACAAACTGTAACACTCCATTTCGCCATCTTAGAGGTTGAATTTTCTAAAATCCTTTCTTACAGAATACCTATGTCATAAAAGGCAGATAGATACTGTCCAAATTTTAGATTTATACGTTTAGCGGTTTGGGCTGAGATAGATGAGTCAGTCACTCAGAACATCTTTTATATTATATATAGAAGATAAGTTTGTACCTGCGCTGCCATTATTCGCTGTCTTTCCTTAATTAGACCACATTTTGGGCACTGGCAGTGTCGATATGCACATGCTTTTTTGTGTCCACGAAGACTAGATATGAGCCCATGGTTCCGGCAACGCGCGCATTTGGGTACTCGCGCTCTACCACCGTTCATCATATTTATGCTGGTTCCTACGAATACAAAAACGTATTTTAATGAAAATATTTCTAAAATTAACGTACCTACTGATATTCACATTTCGTTATAATAGATTCAATCATGCATCATTCATTACAGGCTGTCAAAAGTACACTGCTAAACATAAATGGAATATTTTATAATATAAAATATATATATTAATAGTTGTCACGCATGGCAACCCCGGCTGTTGCCCATCTCTTGTTTCATTTCCCTCTGTTGCATCATACAACACCCACGGGACGGTACGTGGTAGTCGATTTTATCTTACAACGCCACTACACGGAAATATTTATTGTTTGTTGTAAAATCATGAGACGTAACCTATGTCTGATTCTGTTTTAAATGTATCCTTCTCGAATTATTTCACAAAGTTCATTCTTTTAACTTTATAATATGAATATATCGACAGGACACGAACAACTCAAACGTGACTCGAAAACAATGTCCAGATCTTCAAACAGCTGAAGTGCCATTGAACAACAAATTGTAGAGTCAATTACTGGAGAGCATTAACTGTTTGAAACGTTACTCCGACTGTTTTTTGAGTTTGAGTCTCTTAAGAAATCTTCAGAGATAACAGTGGCGTAGAGACATTGCGTGAATCCATAGATTCAAATCGAAAGGCGGAGTTTTTAATTTGTTTTGTTTTTATTAATCGCTATACGACTTCGATAGTTAGGTATTGTAAATTTTATTACTTTTACACAGTTTCCTTAAAACAATATACCTATGTACTTTTTATCGTGTAAAAAAACTTTTTCCACGCATTTCATATATTTTTATAACGATTAAAATACCTTAAAGGTTAAGACGTTTTAGCACTAATTTAGAACACAACTATTATTCATCACTTTTGTGTATCCAATTAGCAACTGATCCACTGCCACCCACATTACACTCTGTCACAGAATAAGTAGTACCGCCTTGAAACTAGCGAAAACCCCGAATGATTCTCAAAAAATACTAAGCTGATAGGCGTTGAAACAAATACTGTATCATATTTAAACTTGAACGTTAACCACAAGATCTAAGAGATAGAGTCAAAGTTTCCGATATTGTGAATCGGTCCCTAGCATCCCGGTTATCCCTGTCCGCCCCCAAAAGGGGCTTTGTCCAATAGGAGACTCTCACTCTCCGGATTGGTTACAAAATGTATAAAGATAATATCAGAAGCTGTTGCTCTTATTTTTGTTTCTCTAAAACAAGCAACATAGGTACATCATATATGTGTAGATATCTGTAGAGATATCTCGAAATGCTTTTAAAGCTATGGGAGTTTCTCAATAGCATTATTTACTTATTTACCTATTTATTCGTGAGTGAAATTTATATCTTTTAGATAATATCTATTTATTTTTTTACATTCCTTCATTAAGCTGGTCCCAATAAGCAAGGTTTCTGAGGTTACGCTTAATCAAAGTGAGAAAAAAATATTTAAAACCTTTTTTACAAAATTTAACAAATAAAATATTTGGGTTGGTAATGGTCATTTCTTTAAAATCGAGTTGGTTTGGGGTATCTGGTTATATGAACTTTCCAACTTGTCACTCTATTATTGCGGTTTAGTATGTGGACTATATACTAATAGTGGCCACGACTTCATGCGCGCCAATTTTAGAATATCTGATTATCTGAAATCGTCAAGAAAAATTGCCTTAAGCGAATAATCTGAAATAAAATTTATTAAGACTTATATAGCTATTAGTAACTTCGTAATATATGTAGTATATAGGTATAATAGCCACTGATAAATCAACATTGTCCCTAAAATTTTTAAAAACTATTTAACAAAAGTAATGTACAATTCGGAATAAAAGCTCCTCGTTAATGTGAAAAAGTACACTTATTACATTTGTTCTTTTTGTTAACAAATTAGCTGTAACTAATTTTTTACTGCGATGACGTCACTGCTGATAGCGTCACCGTCAGCGTAAAAGCTGGTAAGGCAGTAGATCATTTCTCAGCAATTTCGGGCAAGCTTAGGTACCTATTAGATGTAAGTCAAATTAAACAAAGTTAAATAAACATTTACCTAGACGTAAACAATTAGGCAGAAGCATTGAACAAAATTGATGCCCCATAATTTGACCGAAAATCAAAAGCGATGTCACATCGATGATCACTACGACTTTCCAGAAAATTGTGGGGTAACTTGAATGCTGTTCTTGCCATCTTCACAAGTAATGAAGGCTGTATATATTAGTACCTACCTACGAACCTGAAATCAATTGGGAGGGTTAAGAGAATGGTTTTTTTTTTCCTAAGAAGGAAGGGTCAATCGCTTTGCCAGAAGCTGAAAGTGATTTACTTCAGCAAAATGGTATATTATCTTTTTTAAATCTACTGCATCCAATATTTATCAATAAAGGCTACCGGCGTGTTATCACCTGTGAGAGCCAAGAACACAATTGAATGCACTAAACGATTTTCCTATGGCAAATTTTTTTATACCATGATTTAGTGAGGAACTGGTGGTTAAAGCACTGTTTTGAGAGAATTTCAGAATGAATATTTTTATATAGGATAGGGTGATAAACGAGCACACAGTCCATCTGATGGTAAGTGGTTGACCCATGGACATCTACATTTAACCTCAATAAAGAATCAAAATGCAGATGCATCGTCACCCGTGAGGACTTAGATGGAATGCCTCTTTTCCAGTAAAATGGGTCTCCGGTTCTCTACACTTACCGTACGAAACACAGCAGTGTCAAGCTGCCATTTTACGCTGGTATTTTGTGAGAACGTGGGCCTTCCCCGGTCGAGCTGACCCATTCGTGCTACAACTATACTACTAGTATAGCTGCAGCATGTCTCCACCACTCTCTTTAAACTAAGCAGCCTCCCCTCAGAAACGCCAGTACTCTTTGAACAATTTAGTGACTAATTAGTTATTGTTATACCAGAGTGAACGAGAGTGCGGAAGCTTCATCAAGCGCGGTGTTTAGATTTACCTACAGTAGCAGCTAGCACCCAGAGAAAATAACTCGATATTTAGTACTGCTGACGCGGGCATCACGCTTATAAACATTTGAGCGTAGCGAGACGCTTGTATGTACTACCACAGAATAGATAATAGGTCAAGTATGCTACCGTACTCTCTTTTGCACTAGTTACACCGATTTGAAACGTATTACTACAATAGTGGAGAGTATTATTGTTTTGTGACCTTAATCTTAATAGAATCGTAGCCAGGTGATTCGCAAGTGTAGAGTAAGAGTTATTTCCACACATTATGTTAATCTATATTTCATTGTTGTTGCACTAAGATTATGATGATATTTATATGATATATATGATATTTTTAGAGATCTTACATTTACTTAGAAAGGACTTTCTAGTTTAAAATGAAAGTACCTCTATCATATCACCTCTAACCGTTCTACAGGAGAATGTATGTACGTTTAATATTTAACCAGCTTTTCGTCCGCGGTGTTTCCCGTGTCCAAGATGTAACGCCCAGACCGGATTGCATAATACGGAGAGCTCAAGCTATCACATAAAAACTTACTCATATTTCGGCGTCATATGGCCGTAGAATTTAAGTCATACCACAGAATAAATAATAGTTAAAAGAAGTTATACTAAGGCCTGTCGAATGGTGAAAAACGCTCTAACAATCATTCCCTTCGTACTTCAGTACATTCATCCTACTTCTTCATAATTGTATGCTAAGGGAAATCCTTCCCACTACATATTCGACGCGATCATTCCATTTTTCCTTAAAAAATCTACTTGAAACTAATATTTTCATCATACTTCCTATTCTTTCTTGTGTTATTATACTAATTTCATCAACTTTATCATCTTGTTTTATTTTTATTTTTAATTTTTTATATGTTAAATTTATTATATAACTCCCTCCTAGCTATTTAAAGCGCTTTTTCAATCAAAGACTTAGTAAGTTTAGAGACAATCGCCCAGTAAAATAAAAAGTTTCATACAAACTTTATAGCCTATTTCACCCTACCAGAGGTTGAATTTTACAAAATAATTTTTAGTTGATGCATATGTCATAAAAGGCGGCTACTGCCATCAGTTTATACTAAATCTATGGCTAATGCCTAAATTTCAAATTTCTGACTAGCGGGTTGGGTTGTACGTAGGGTTCCCAACCCACACGTATTGCCCGGGAGACCCCGGTAATAATGGTTAATCTCCCGAAGTCCCGAGGTGCAATAATTTCTCCGGTTTTTCTAAAAATTATACGCATTCTTAGCTCGCACGTGTCGCTGCTCACTCGCTTTGCGTTCATACACAACATCGCGCGCCGCGACCTGTGTAAATCTGTTCGTCTCGCCGTCGACGTTGTCGATGCGGCGGTGTCTGTCCGGTCCGATGAAGATCCGGAATACCAAGCAATGAAAATGTTATCTCTAAAAGAACCAATCACATGGACAGGCAATACTAGACTCTAGGAATTATTAAATATTAACTTAGATAGTGACAAACATTACGATGAGTTTGGACTTTTGCGTGAGATTCAACCACAGCTCGTTGAAAAAAATCGAATGGATTTACGCTGGGTTGACTTCTTTACGAAATCGAAAGACCGAAATCCCTGTCCTGAATTAAAAAAAAAGGTCACATTTGTTCTTTTCATTCGTGTCTCCTTCTTGCGAGCGCGTATTCAGTATGATGGAACAAGCATGGAGCGAGGAAAGAAACCAAATGAATATTTCTTTAGTAAAAGCAGAGTTAGAAGTACTAACAAACTTCGATTTTTCATGTAAACACTTTTATGATTTTGTGATAAAAAGCCGACAAATTTTAGGTGCTGCTCGAAAGCAAAGTAAATATTTGTTATTATATTGTTATATTGATAAATGATTGTTTGAACTGTCGAAGCTGAAGACCGAATCCACTTTCATCAGCATCGTTTCCGGAACACCTGAGATTTTGAGTGAGATTTAGAGGTTCTACGGGCAGCTGTACACGTCATCGTTGGTACCACACGCAAGTATGAGTAACGATCC